CAGTATTTTTATTCTTAATTTAATCTGATAAAAGTGGCTGAAAAAAACTGAATATTCTTTTCAACATATTACATAATATGTGAGAGCTTATTTTCCACTATGATGTATAGGAATAATACATTGTTGAAACTAAAATGCTGCTTATGTCTCATTGACCCATATGGACTTATATTAAAATAATTTCAGTCAACTTTTTTAAGAACCCCATCACTCTGAGAAAAAATTATTTATAGATATATCGTACCTATGAACAATGAACATGTATTACTGGAACTTGCAGTTTTTTAGAAACTGATTACACCCCTGATATTTTCAAGGTTTGTAAGTTCGAGTAAATCGTAGGTACTATATCAAACTCGAATATGGAGCTATATAATAGAAGGATATTATATGGGAAAATGTAAATTTTTTTATGAATATGAACAACGCAACAAATTACAATAGGTACCTTATTTTTATTTTTTATTCGTTTCTATGGTAATAAACAAATCGTTAGAAATTAAAATCCAATTTTTAGAGGTTTTTCGTAATTTGTCGGTGGTTTTTACCGTGGCATTAAATAATTATTGATAATATCGAAAAATGACCTCTAGAAAGTACCATCTTGATCCAATTTGCTAAAAGATAAGATATGTTGAAACGAAGAACTCCTTCTGGTAGAAATTTTGTATACAGGATATAAAAAAAAAATTAAAAATTAATTTTATTTACCTACTATTTAGATATAGGTATAGACCTACTTTCCTGACTAAGGTGGTGCTGATTAATCATTATTCTACGGTTTAAATACGATATTTTATTATAATAATACTATAATATTTTATATTACTATAATTTTTATAGTAGTTATATGGGTTTAGAAAGTAAATATTAAAATATATAGTGCAATTAACGATATAAAAAACTAAAGGGGAAAACGAACGACTGAATATATATAGTAGCAAGTAGGTACTATTAATTATTATCATTAAATAGCAATTAGTATAACGATGGGCCATTATTGTTGAACCGTTGGCACAAGCATCTAATTCTCGAGTAAAATTCGAAATCATTCAAAGGTTATCGTTGGTTGTAACCCGAAATTCAATTCCCCCGCTACTGACGCCGATATATATACTAGTCGAATCACTATAGTTTGTATGTAGGCTAATTTGTAGATAATGCTCCAATTGATTATACATTTGTTATAAGTATCACAATGTCATATCCACCTATTATTATAGCATTATGATAATTGATACGGAATAAATTAGTAGAGTAATAATTTTAGTAAATGTTTCGTGATTTTTCAATTGAGGATGATGGACAATTTAATGCAAAGTTAGCCATCATTGGGCCATTGGACCATTGGGGTCATCAAAGTAGGTAACATTATTTATCAATAATCGCAAAACACTAAATAGTACATACATATTATTTCAATCCATTTAGCAATTAGTGCATGAAAATTGAAAACCCTTTTATTCCGGGGAGAATGTTCATGTTTATATATCATGATCCATACCCACATTCATTGACGTAAATAGTGTTTGAAATTTAGGGGGGCTGAAAGTCAGGTCTATACTCGAAACTCTTATGATGCTTTTAAATTATAGTATTGAAAAATTTACCCCCTATTTACGCCTATGCGGCTTGCCTACATTTATATACAAGTAACATAGATTAAAGTATTAAACATTTAAACATTAACCAAACCTAACCTAATAAGTAATATAGGTAACCTAACATTTAATCAATGAATCTAAGTAATAGGTAATTTATGAGTTATAACCAACAATAATTACTAATTAGTTAAGACTTAAACTAAAAAACCACTAATGCCCGTATGCATAGTCAATTTCTGTGTCACATAAGACATGTTATACCTACTTTGTCTTATGTAGTTATGTTACACACAAATTTACCATGCATACGGACATAAGTATATGCGAGTATATGACCTTACGTGTTATAACTTACAATTCTTACAACAGTAAATACTTAGCAATTTTCAGTATAATATTGTAGAATACAGACATTTTTTGCGAGATAGGACACTGTCTATGAAGTATAGGTGGTAAGTATACTGTATAACTAGGAATGATAATTTTAAAATTTTAATTAAATAAAATAATAATTATTAATAAATTATTTATTTTCACAGAATAGGTACACACCTAGTATATTGTATTACTGTGTGTCTGTGTTTACTGTTTAGAAATTAATATGAAATATACAATATACTTATTAATTATTATCGAATATCGATACGCGCAGTTCACCATTGTCGTCCATAGTGTTTAATTTAATAATCTCGGATTTATTGTCAATAATTATTTACCTATACATTTATTTGTCTATTATTTCACACTATACTCTAGACTAAACACTAAATTAAAGTCTGAATTCTAGATCACGTGTTTTGTTCTGAGTTTCTGACTGTTATAAATACTTCTGACCACATCGCTTGCAAACTTGACGCATCACACAACCACCTGTATACACTCCACACATGCGTTCGCCTTCTGCAGGCTTCAGCTAGAGCTTAGCAAGTAGCAACTTCGGAAGTAAGTACCATATATTATATTTTAAATTAAACTTTAGTTAGCAATATTTAAAATAATTAGTCATCGAACCATAAATCCATAAAAATATGCCGCTGTTCGCTATTATTAATAGCTGCAATAATTAATAAATTATTGATGAAATAGGTCGAATCATAGCCACATATAGGTGGGGGGGCTTTAGGGGCTAAGCCCTTCCTCCAAAACCTTTACTAAATTTTTTTTAAACTTATTCAATATTCTATATAATACTATAATAGCAAGCCCCTCTCTAATCTCAAACGCTATTTGCACCTATGGGTACAAATGTACAATGTAAAGTATATTAGGTAAAATCATTGATTGAAATACTATAAAAAAAAATAGTATACTAGACACTAGTACCTATTTATAAATTATAATTAATGATAAAAGCTAACCAACATATTATTCGACACACACTCAAGCTTCATAATATTCTTCGTGCAGTATAGTTGGCAGTTGCTACCTATAATCATTATTCATTATAGACACCATCGCCGTCATTAGGGGAGGGGGTAATTTTTACTAGGGCAGATTTTTAAGTTGCATTCATTTAAAATTTTACTGTAAATTGCCATTTGCTCTATTCGTGAATTAATTCTATCCTAGTTTCTCCACTAGCTTCTACAGTATTAACTACATACCTACATATTATATTATACCTATAATACTACCGGGCTATATTTTCACTTATACGATGTATCTACCACGAGTATTATTTAATTTATTATTTTGTAACAACTTTTTATTTTCAATAAATTATACAAATAATAAGTTATATACGAATACGAGTATGCAACGTTCATACTTCATATTTAAATTATAGCAATATTTTCCCTCGACGGCCCTTAAAGCAAAGTATAAAAAAAAGCTTAAAGTATATTATGCTGCGTGCGCGGGTCCACACAGTTTGGGTTTTGTTTTGTTTCTATTTTTAAAAACAATTTGGATTGTCCCGTCTGTGTTGGGAAAAGTTGGGTTTATCTTTGGTTTCGTTTCGTTTTCTCGTCGGCATTAACCTACACAGGCACACAGCGAGGTTAGGTAACTATATACACAATACACAGTGTTAAGCCTGAAATACTTTACAAATACAATTATTCTGCAATCTTATAAAAGATACAGATACTGTATGTCTGTATTTTCAGCAGGTGCTTTGTCTTTGGCATGGATCTTTATTCTTAAATAGTGGCAAATACTTTAAGTTTAATGTATTTGATGGTGGTTGTTGGTGACTTGCTGTTATCAGAAATCGAAATAGGCGGATATCAGGGACTAAGATATCTTAGTCCGTGTCCGTGGCGGATATTATATCCGACATCGGCAGTTGTCACTTGTTGTCGAACAGCTGCTGCTGCAGTCTGTTGGAATGTGGGTCGAATTGGTCGACGATAACAAATTAACAACAATGAACAACTCTATTTAATTTTAGGTATCTATATTATAATAATATTACCCATTAATATTATAATGACATTAATAATAATGGCCGTGGCCCGTGACATGATGACAACAACGTCACTTATCACGCGTCAAGTGTCAACAGGATTCTATTAAACAATAATCAATAATGCGTACCAGTATCCTGTATTTATATCTGTAATTAATAATTTTCCATCAAGGCCGAATTTCGAATGTCCATCATAATAAGTTAATAATGGTGGGGTAAGTTTCGTTCGTATTCTTAGTGCAGTGAATTATTTGTTGCGTATTGTGAAGCAATACAATTGTACTTAATAATTATTATTGAAATTTTGTATTTTCTAGTCCGCCACCACAGTCATTTTGTCTGGCTAGTCTTCGAGCCGCCGCATCCAATGGTGTATGTGCTAGGTAGCAATAGCTAAATCAACCATTGACGCAGAGATGGAAGGTATTGACGTGGAGTTTACAGACGTGACCCTAAAGGTCAACGTATGGGACCCTCTGGTGACGAAGACGTTAAGGCCAGGTAAGATACATATTAATATCTACCATAAAATACTATGGAAAAATATAATTTATGCTGCAGCAAGTGTGGCTAAAGTTTTTTTGCTATAGATCTACTGAGAAAATATTTTTCCTTTAAGGAGCTATAACTATTATCGAACGCGGCTAAGTGGGATTAACTTTGAAATTATCTGTAAATTATTGGTGTGGCCTCCCTCTGGCTTATAGTATATTCTATCATTATACTGACTCTTTTCAAATTAAATCATCATATTATTATAGCTATCGGATACTAACGCACTCTGTTGTTTCAGAAAAGAAAACTGTTTTGAACAATGTCAGTGGCTTGTTCCGTAGAAATGAAGTAGGGGCCATACTAGGATGTTCTGGATCTGGAAAATCAACCCTCATGAATATTTTATCTGGTTACATGTGAGTATTTTAACTAACAGTTCACTTGACACATAATGATAATTATATAGGTATAGTAAAAAAAATCTACATAAATTATAATTGTTAATTTTATTATTTTACATGTAAAATTTTGATTTTATAATGTTTTAAATTTTCCAATTGCGTAGGTCAAGTGGTTACCAAGGATCTGTAACTTTAAATGGAGCACAGCGAGATTTGCTATCATTTAGGAATGTTTCAAGCTACATCATGCAAGAGGATAGTTTGCAATTGTATTTAACTGTTCAAGAATCAATGGAGTTTGCCATGAAGCTGAAACATTCAATATCTAAATTGGATGTTCAAAAAAGAATCTCAGTGAGTTTTCAATAATTATTGAAACATACCTAGTCAATCAATTTCAAGAGACTGCATCATAAAAATAATTTTCTCTCTTATAGTCACATATATAGTAACATCAAAACATCTCCCCGTCTTCACTCATTGTGATTAGGTACCTTTGTTAAAATTGAGGTTTCATTACTTATTATAACAATTTAAAGATATTTATTATATTTATGTCTATAGTAAGACATTTTTGAAAGTTTGAGTTGCTTATAATTATTAATATATTTCCTAAAAATAAAATATTAAAAAAAGGTTCTGATTAAAAACACATAAGGTTATTTTTTATGATTGTTATAATATCTTAACTTCAGTAACATAATCTCAATGCGTGAATTACGGAAAGTCCTTAGTCTGCTCTGCCACTCTGTCCCCAGAGAGATTTTTATTTTATACAAAATACAGTATGTTAAAAGTGTGAATTGGAGAAAAATTTATACTGTTGTGCCCTCTTAATTAATATTTGTATCTTTCAGATAGACGGTTTACTTCATAATTTACTTTTACATGATAAACGAGACTCGTTGGTTTATAATTTATCCGGTGGAGAGTGTAGAAGACTGACCATTGCTTTAGAATTAGTTCGCAGCCCAAAAGTGATGTTTTTTGATGAACCAACAACGTAATATACTTGTATTTATCTAAAGTTTTTGATAAATCTTAATCTTTTGGTTTGTTTTAATATTAAAATTGTTGTTTTTATTACCCAGAGGTCTGGATATAGTGTCTGCAAATAATGTTGTTAAGATTATGAGAAAATTGGCCGACTCTGGGAAAACAATAATATGCACTATACATCAAGCATCAGCTTCTCATTTGACAAATTTTGACACTGTTTATGTTCTTACACCTTCAGGACAATGCATGTATAATGGAAAATCATCACACATAATTGATTATTTCTCAGATCTTGGATTTCAATGTCCTGAGTATCACAATCCTGCTGATTATGGTTGGTGGTAATGCCTCTAAAAAATGTATATATAGAAACACAAATGTTTTTAAATTTGTTGAATTATTTATTCAGTAATTGAACTGAGTTTGGGTGAATATGGAATACCCATTGATACAATGATTGAGCTAGTTAAAGAAACAAACAAGAATGATCGACACATAATTAGTAAGCAATTTTAAATCAATATTATTATTACACCTTAACAATAAAAAAACTTAATATATAAATTACATAATATAATATTATTTATTTCAGACCAAAGTGCTAAGTCTGTACCTGTAATTTATTGTCGAGAATATTCTTCAAAATGTTTTCCTGAGCTTTGTATACTTATGCACAGAACTTTGCTAACTACTTTTAGAGATCATGTTAGTGATTTATAATTAACTACTAGGTAAATTTATAAATATTTATATTTTTTTTCAAGTTTCTAGTTAAAGTAAGACTTTTTGTCCACTTCTTGCTGGGGAGCATGTTTGGAATTGTTTACATAGGACTTGGGAAGAGCGCTATGCACGTTCGTGACAATGCAGTATTACTATTTTTCTGTGTAATGTTTATGACTTATGTAGCAGCCTTTACCATGTCTATAAAATGTTAGTATTGGTATAAATATATAAAATATTTAAACATTAATACATGTATTACTGTATTAGTTAATATAAATATCATTATATTTACATACTTAGTAACTAGTTAGTATTCAATAATAACATTTTTGTGCTTTATATTAAATGTTTTAGTTCCGTTAGAATTGTCAGTGATGCGGAAAGAATATTTTAACAGATGGTATTCGTTAAGTTCTTATTACATTTCTGTCACTATCGTGGATCTACCAGTACAAGTAAATACTAAACATTATAATATACAATATTTACAATTTAAATTAATTAACTAATTATTACAGATTCTGTAACAAACATAAATAAATATTATGAACTGAATAGTTTATTATTACAACTTACTCTTATATTTTATTTTTTTCAGATTTTTTGTACTTTTTTGTTTTGTTCGCTAATATACTTGTTATCTGGTCAACCTTTAATACTCTTTAGGATTTCAATGTTTCTGTTGATATTTATTGTGACAGGACTTATGTCACAAGCAATTGGAATGCTTGTCAGTACCCTCTGCAAAGGTTTTGTTGTAAGCTGTGACACTTAATCTAATATTTGTTAAACATTAAAATATTAAATACTAAAATAATACAAATATTTTGTTCTAGATTAATACCGTTATAGTTGCATTAATATTAATGTTTTGGACCACTTATGCAGGTGGCATGATAAGAATATCTGATACCCCTAAAATATATCGATGGTTATATGATGTATCATTTATGAAACATTCTGTGCAAGGTGTACTTCATTCAGTTTATGGTTATGATCGATCTGTATTGCCTTGTCCAGTTGTAAGTAATTTAATTATAATAGAATTTTAACATTTAGTTTGAATTAGTTTTGTATGTGACCTACCGTATTAGGTATTAATTTAGTATGTGACCTAAGGGTAGTATGTGACGGATAATTAATTTAAAAACAGTCAAATAAAATGATATCAATAATTATTTAATTAATTAGTAATACGAATATAAAATAATACAGGATTACATTTAATAATGTCAAAATCAGTCAAACAAAATATCAGTTTAAAAAAAATTATGAATACACTCATAGGTACCTATAACAGCAATACATCCAAATTATTCAAAAAATGTTGTTATAAACAAATTGTATTTTATTTTAAATAATTTTTAAATCAACAAGAAATTCTTAATTTTTGTCCAAAATAATTTGGTACTTTTCGGTTATCACGACTATGCCTTTAGGCATAATTTAAAAAAAAATTAATTTTAAATTATTACAAAAATTAAAAATGAATTATAACCGATATCCGCGATAACTAAATTGTTTATTTATTACTGAACAGTTGTGGCAGGGTATAGACAAAGTGTGTATTAACAAAATCGGGTGATTGTGGTCTTGAACACAATCTCCGGGGTACACATTATCAATTAAATATTTCATATCAATATTATAAATTATTAATTGAAAAACGTCAAAATAATTTTGTAATATTTCATGTTTAGAGTCATACTTTTTGTACCGTATGGATACAGAGACCCGATCAGCTGATCGAGTATCTGTTCCTTATTGTTCTGTGGTTATGGTAGCCACAATAACCGATAAGTACCAATAATTTTATATGGAATCATGAATTTATAAACAACACATTAAGAACATTTTTATTTAATATTTATACTTTTTCTATAAATCTTATGGTTAAAAAACACCTAAAAATTTAGATACTAAAATTAGTGAACAGAAACAAATAATTATTGTTTTTCTGTTAAAATAATGTTGGTTTTTATGTTTTTTTAGATGTTTTGTCCATTTGGTTCACCAAAAGTAATGCTTAAAACAATTGATATGGGTGAGAATTTGTACTGGATAAATGTCAGCTTTATCACTAGTATTTATGTTGTATTGAAAGTATGTGCTTTTATCGCACTAAAGTATAAGTTGTCTTCTACTTGAACCCAATGCCAAACAAAAGATCTAACGGAATTTGAGATACTGAAAATTCAAGATGATTTAATATTAGTATTCATTTTTTATTATTTAATATCACTTTCAATTGATCAAAAACTATACATAAACTGTATTTTTGTTATGTAATAATTAATATACCTTATAATAGATGGTAATCCAAAGGCCGTTCTTACAATGTCCGGTTAAGTGTCTGTTAGCGATGACTGACTGATAGCAGCGAGTTTACTATCGGCAAATTCTACCGGTTAAGTGTCCGTGAACTTTAACCAGACATTGTAAGAACAGCCCTAAATTTCTACAAAAATAGATACTGATGCGACCATGAATAAATATAATGTTAAAATAACTTTATTATTTGAGTTATAATATAATAATATGTACCAGATTATGTATGATAGCAGTATTTGAGATGCAAGGCACTCTTTTGTGACTTTTTATTGTATTGTAGTGTACCTTATATATTTATGGATCACAGATTATAATATATTCATTGTTCACACAAGCGTTTGTATTGATTACTCAACTTACATAAATACATAACAATCATAACATAAGCCATGACCCATTTATTTTCCATGGTGATTACTTGTCAATAAGAAAATATACTCCTTTTTTGGGTGCATGTTAAATCTACCGATTGCAAATTTGAATTTAAATTATTAAGCAAGTTTAGGGTTAATCGCGATGACCTCATACAAAAATTGGTGATGAAATCGATAGGTCACCATTTCAGGAACACATTTAAATGTACAATGATGCAACAAACTTAAAAAGTATCTTTTCCCTGCAGTAGCCTGATAATAATATATATTATATAATGATAGTAATCTTAGGTGAAGAATTTATTTATTTTTTTATTAATGTTTGATCAACATTTGTTCTATCATAGGTACATAGTATATACTATATTCTATAACTATTACATTATAGGTAATTATAATTACATATTTACATTACTGGCGTTTTGCAAGGTGCTTAATATAGGCAATTCACAATATTCCCATACAAAATACAGTTTTCACCTTTTAGGAATCCTTGTACCTAAGTGTTTTAAATGTTCACTAAAAAAGTGAACGCATTCGAATTCACGTTTATTGTCCAGTAAAATTTTTATGTATTTATTATATAACAAAACGGGCCGTGGCCCAAACTATAGAACACAATACATATATTATTATAGGTAGTAGGTAGTTAGTAGGTACACAAAATAAATATAAACTAGACACTGTTTACATAATATTAACAGAGAGAAAACAACGGATTCTCGTTAGAAGTACGCATCATCCTAAACATCGGTATATTAAAGGAATAGTTAGTGGTGCAAAGGGGTATGAAAAAAAGATAAATTGTGCATGATTGGAATCTAGGGATTTTGAAATTAATTTCTCATAGCAAAGGCTATAGAGCCGTTAATGAGTTTTCAACACTTGTAGGTACTTTCAGGAAACGCATACGTATTTTCTCAAGATTTGAACTTTAAATGCTTATAAATAAAAATTGTGACTAAGGATTTTTAATATTTTTCAAATGTCATTGTAACAATATAGTAGGACTGTAGGAGCCTTGTATTCATTTTTCAAGCTTTTCTACCCAACAAATAAAGTTTTATTGACATTCATAGAAAAAAAGACTAATAAAACTGGAAACTGAAAATGTCCGTAAACAGCTCAAAACAAATCAAAATATTTTGAACATTTTATAGTGTATAGAAAATGTAAATATAAACAACCATTGAAAATTGCATGTATCTACGTTCATTTGTTTTAGAGTTACACCAAACACCAAAATTGATTTTGGGTAAAAATTCCAGTTTGTCCTTAATTTTTTTTTGGTTTTTCACGGCGCTATTGAAAATTACTTACTGGGAATTTTGACCTCCCCAATGCACCAACTAGATTAACTTTCTTGGTCAAACAAGATACTTAAATTGAAAACCGAAACATTTTGATTAAGTGGAAAACCGATTTTGCGTAAAAATTCCTGTTTTTCCCGGCGCTTTTGAAAACTAGTGGCAATTTTTAATTTTGACCTCCCCACTGCACCAATAATATTCTCTTTCCCATTGAACAAGATACTGAAGTCGAAGCATTATTTTGACTACCTATCGTGTACACACTACAGACACAAAAATAAATTAAAAAAAAAACACACATCATTGAAAAATCAATACATTCATCGTTTCACTCAGAATCTAAAATAGGCGTGACGTTATTGGGCCCAGTTTATCGTAATTGCCTATCTTATTCGTAAAAGTTCTTCGCTTCACACAACGATTTACCAACCTATAAGTTTATTTAATTTCCATATAAATGTGTTGTTTTATGTGCTTAAGATGATAAAAGTATCAACATTTCAATGTAAGGTTTAGTTTTTTAAATATTAAAAATCTTAAAAGAGATATATTTGAATTTATATTTAAATGGCCATGCCCCACCGTATAACAAAAATATCAATTAAAAGATTTATTAATATTTAAAAAACTAAACGTTATATTGAATTTTTGATAGTTTTATCGTCTTAATACATAAAATCGTTGTGTGAAGACTGAAGAGAGGAACTTTTACACGTATAAGATAGGTAATAATTCCGATGAGCCGGGCCTTATATGACATCACGCGGCTATTCTACATTTCTTAATATCTCTTGAAGTAATCATTTTTAGATTCTGAGTGAAACTATGAATGTAATTAAAAATTGATTTTACAATGATGTGTGTTTTTTTCATTTTATTTTTTTTATTTTATTTGTGTCTGTGCACACGATAAGTGGTCGAAATAATGCTTCGATTTTCAACTTCAGTATCTTGTTCGATTGGAAAGTGAATATCGTTGGCGCATTGAGGAGGGTTAAAATTCCTAGTAGTTTTCAAAAGCACCAAGAAAAACAAAAAAAAAATTAAAGAAAAACTGGAATTTTTACGCAAAATCGGTTTTTAACAAAATCAAATTTGGTTTTTGGTGTAACTTTAAAACAAATGACCGTAGATACATGAAATTTTCACTGGTTGTTTATATTTGCATTTTCTATACACGATCAAAATATTTTGGTTTATTTTGAACTGTTTAGGGACATTTTCAGTTTCCAATTTCATTAGTTTTTTTTTATATATATCAATACAATTTTATTTGTTGAGTAAAAATACTTGAAATTTTAATAGAAGGCTCCTAGTATATTGTTTCCAAGGCAAATGAAAAATATTTACAGACATTTACAGTTTTAAATTTTTTGAGTTTTTTTTTTCTATAAATATCAATTAAGTTTTATTTATTGGGGCAAAAAGCGTAAAAATTTAATACAAGGCTCCTGATTTATTGTTACAATATCAGTTGAAAAATATTAAAAATTCATTGGTACAATTTTTTTTTATAACTTATAAGCATTTAAAAGATCGAATTTTTCAAATTTAAAATTAAATAATTATTTTGTAGTTAAAAATTTATAAAATGTTCAACTTTTATGTATAAGGATTGAAAATTTAAAACAAGATTCCACGTAAGTGGTTAATTCTGTTACCAAAAAAATCTAAAAAATACAGAAGGACAGTTTATTTTTATAGTAATTTTAAGTTCAAATTTGGACGAAATTACATAACAAAAAACCTAGAATAACTATTTTAGTTATTTTGTTGTGACTGTATAATATTATTCGTGTGTATACTTGAAACTTCTAAAGTACACTATTATACTATCTATGATAGTAACAGGGCTACTTTGTTGATGTATAAAGCATTATAAGTACCTAATGGATATGATTAATTTGGAATTTATTATAGGTAGGTACCTATTATAGGTCAATTTTTTTTAATACCATAGATAAGTATATAATATGTCTTTTACCTAGACTGACATACCGTCTCCGCTCAGAATCGTTTTTCTTATACAATGATATTATATCATTGAATTCAAATTTAATACTAATATACTATCCATTATACAGTAACCCACTTGTAACCTACTGTACAGCAGATTACCTTTTTTACATCGGATTTCCGCCAAATCATTTAATATAGTCATAATTACCTACCATTATAGTTAATATATATTCTATAGTTCAAATTTGAAGTGTATACAACTACGAGAAGCGCACCAAAAAAAAATTTAATTTTTTTCATTACACATTTTTTTTAAATTTCAATAGCATATGATTATAAGATGTATTAATGTCAACTACCATTACCTTACCCACCTAATAAAGAATCCAAATGTATGCTATTGTAAAAAATGTAGCTGTGAAGAAAAAAATGTAAAGTAATAATATATAATTACAATATTAATACTAATTTCGGTGTTTTTAATGAACTATGTTTGCCAAAAAGTTTTGTTTTTTTTTTTTGAGCATTTTATTAGATTACCAATTTAAGTCCATATCATTGATATATAATTGATAAAAAAAACCCGTGTACAATGACATAAGATACACGCTGTATACCTGTATAATTCCCAATTCGGGAGCTAGGTACCTATTATACAGGTATAAGCAGTGTCGGCCTGGCATATAAAAGGCCTCGGCCGCAATTTTTCTCTGGGGCCTCGATTTTTTTTCTTCATTTACTATATATGAACAAGGTCGTTCCTAGAGTTGTTGTATATCCCCCCCCAGCCAAAGTGTTAATGAATTATTTTTTGTAAACTAACTTATGATATATAATTATGTCAGAATTCAGTTTTTTTCTTATGAATAAAAATAAAAAATGACTATAGTTGTATGATTAAAGTGAAACCTGTATAGGAAACAGCACCGTTTGATGCTGACCGTTAAACGCCAATTATTAACGCTGACTTTTACCTCCCTCCTCCCACTCACCAAATAGTCGCTCGATTAAAATTTTTCCACTTTTACAATTCTCTACTAAAAACAAGTATTAACTTCTGACGTGCTTAATGATACACCTGATTTTAATAATTTACTAAACAAAATGTAATTCAAATTACGAAAAAGTTATCATCCAAAATATAATAAAGAAGACGAACAATGAACAAAAGTTG